CAGACACGGGGGGCGGGGCGTGGCTGTGCCGGGGCGGGGGGTGGGGTGCATGTGTGCCGGGGGCGGGGGCGGGGGTGTGTGTGACCAGGATGGGGGCTGGGGGGAGCCCGTCTCACCGTGAATGAACCTGAAGATGATCATGATCTTGTCCAGGATCCTCTCCAGCTCCTCGTCCGTGGCCTCCTTGTTACCCGCTCTCAGTTTTGAGTCAACATGCTTTGCTGTGAGTGTAAATTATTAAAAAACACGCGTTGGTTACACGACACACTGTCTAAACGGAAAAAGGACACCTTCAATGTCTACACGCACAAGCTGAGCAGGAACGCTCCGGAGCCTTCCCAAAATGACGTTCTTAAAAGACAAAAAGGCAAACACCTGGTCTTTCTCAGACACTGACTCTCAAGTCACCTGGGACCAAACAGTCTGCCGCGCGCTGGGGTCCCAGCTCACTCCTGCTCCAGACACCGGAGCGCCCCACCTTCAGGATGTGCCGACACCCAGGGTGACAAGGCAGGACAGGAGCAGTCCTCCCGGGGCCTCTTGTTTCTGAGACCACACGAGCCAGCCACGGCCTGGCTGACGGGAGGGAGAAGCCAAGCTCCCAAGAGTTTAAACTGGCATCTTGAGAGAAGGCACAGCCCACAACGTGGGACGGAGGCCAAGTCTGCTGCCTGGCGCTTTTCGCCCGTTGCTGCTCTTATTCGACCTTTCTTTATAACTCTCTAGCATGAAATTTTCTGCCCACACACCCAACCTGACGCTTGCAGAGGAGCCCACGCGCCCCCCGACGTCCTCAGTAGCCCCCTCAGAGCCCAGCTCTGCACACGGTCTCACCTTCCGCTGCCCCCTGCAAATCTGAACAAACCAATTTACCAGGAAAATTCCATGAATCCTGAAATATGCTTTGACGTCACCATTAAATAATTCTATAAAGTGATAACCGTTTCATTTTGGAATACGCCGCCTACTGGGGTGCCGTTCAGTTTTACTCCATGTTAATACCGCCCCGAGGACTCAAGGACAGTGACTGAACAGCACCTCATGTCAGACACCAGTTAGACTGACAGCCCCCTCAGATGCAGCAGCCTTCTCAGTCCTCCCTCTGAGCAGAAGCCGCTTGTAATCAAGACAGAGGCTCGGGGCTCCTCTTCACAAACGCAGCTCTGGGGCTGCCAGCACCTCCAGTGCGACGGCCACACTTACTGTCCCTTCCTCCTCCCAGACGCCAAGCTTTCCTCTGCACAAACCCTCCACCATGTCCTCCCTCAAGGAAACACTGCGTGCTCACACCAGTACCCAATGTGTATGCCCACACACACACGTGCACATGTGTGTACACGGTTCTCTGAAAACGTGGTCCCAGTGAAGGGGGCGTGTTCCCTCCTCTCCCCACAAGGCGCTTGAACGCTCGTTCTACACCCCGTTAAGGAAACACGTGGAGAAGCGCTCCTACCGATCAGCTCTGCAGGCTTGTTTGGCCTCTTGTTGATAAACGCCTCGAAGGACTCCTTCATCAGGCTGACGAACTTCTCGTTCCTCTGGAAGCACACTTCTATCACGTGGTCCACTCTGTCCTTGAAGTCCAGGAGGTCCTGCACCATGTCCTTATCTTTTTCGGGATTGATAACAATTGTTGTCCCAAAAGTCTGCAGAAACATACGAAGCCCAAGTCACCAACAGGTCTGTGGCCCAACACAGGTTTCTCCTCCCACCAAACCACCATGATGGTTTAACACAACCTAGTCACTGCTGGTATTAACTACTACGTAATTTCAGAAGTTTCACAGCGTCAGCCCACACTCTGAAAATTAAGCGGCTATACACCCAACGCTCTAGGGCCACAAGGCGGCTCCCGGCAGAGTTTATAAATACCCGGGAAATGTCTGCTGCTTTTAAAGAACTTTCACGTACAAACTCAATGGAAATCAGTTCCCTTAACTGGACACACCTATGTTGACTTCTGACTATAATCTCTTTCTCCTTCACTTCCAGCCCAGAAGAGCCTGGTTTTAGCCTGTATTTTTGCTTCAAAGATGCTGCGTGAACACGCTAAGTCTACGTGTGACAACAGCGGGTGGCTGTGTGGTGACGCAAACCATCAGCCGAAGAGGCGCTGAGCACACACACGTGCTGTTCATCGTGACAGGCGTCACACACGCACGCAGAGGCAGATTACTGGGGAAAAGGCACAGGTGAAAGAGCGTAAGTCTCTTCTGGAGAGGACGCTGCACGACCAGCAGGGGTGGGCACCCTGTGCCCCGTGCTGACTGCGCCGTAAATAAGATGTGAACCGAGAAGGGTCAGCTCTCTTCCAAGCAGGGCGCACTTGCTGAATGTAATCTGCTGTCACAGTGTGAGTGCGTGGCGTTGACCAACACTCAGGGGTGTTCACATCACTCATTTTTCTACCCGGACTGGAAACTGCAGAGGATTCTTGTGCTCAGCAACGTGCCTGCTCTGTCAGGACGACAGCCAGCAAAGCCCTACACCTCCACTGGCCACCTCCACCGTAAAGCTCCAGGGCTGAGTCAGTTACGCCTTCCGCTCAGCACTGCCGCACAAAACCGGGGGTGTGTGCGCGAGCGCATACAAGCTCTCCACGTGCAGGACATGCAGACGGACGTGCGACTCCAGGCCTGATCATTCTCATTGTCTTTTTCCCTCAACTGAATTTTTCTTGTGATCATCAGACTCAGAAGTAGCAGAGACAGTGCAGGGCGCCTCTGACTCGGTGCCTGCCATCCCCCAGGGAGCAGTGGGGAAGGCTTCTCCAGCAGCATCACAACCCGCCTTCTCCAGAACGCCAACAGTTTACGGTCATGCATCCGTGTGTGTCCCCACGCGGGCTTGTGTCCCGCACGCTCAGCACCACGAGGACCCCTCCTGCTGCCTTTTCATGACTGCACGCGCGTGTACACACAGGAGCATGGAAGCACACACGTGAGGAATAAATCCTAGATTCCTAGGAAATGAGCAGCACACGCACCGACCTGACACCAAAACGCGTAATAGTTCCCACTACGCAAACGTGAGGTCACGTCTAAACAGCAAATCACAAAAGCGACTCCTTTTTGAAAACCACGATTGTAGAATTAAGCTAGTACTTACAGCATTTTCCCACCTGGATGGTGTTCATCCCTAAGAACACGTGTGCACAAGTGACCGGAGGGAGACGGAGGCCTGCTGCGCACCGGCTGCCTGCGGTGAGGCCCAGCCCTATCCCCGCCGCGACGGATGAGCACGCACCTTGATGTAGTCGCTCCAGTGCTGCAGCAGCACCTGCTGGCCGCCCCGCACGCGGCTGAACAGCTGGTACATCTGGGTGAGGTCGGGCACTCTGTTCTCGTCAAGCAGGTGGTCCAGCCCTAAGATCACAGCAAACGTCAGTGCGCCCCAGTGGGGACAGGAGAGCCTGAGACACTCTCTCAGGGGGTCCCACCTTCCTGTGCCCACTGGGACACGTGCTCCTTACTCCCCATGTCACTAAAGCCCCCTCATTTCACCAAAGCAGCAGTGGTCCGAACGCTGCCACCAGCGCTGACCTGGGAGGGTCACAACCCCAGTCTCTTCCGACCTGGTCTGTCGGTCAGGCAGCATATTGTCAAGGATGAGCTAGCAAATCTAAACTTTCAGCTGATGAATTTCATCCACACGCTAATGAACTGTGGGAGGAGAACATTTCCTGTTTACCGGATATTCTGAAGTACTGAACATAGCATTTAAAAAAATTTTTACTGTTCCAACTACTGAATTTTTACAAAGATTTTGTAAAACCTGTACCACAATCAGAAGCCTGCACGGAGGCATTTCTATGGTAACTATGGGGAGGAGCTACTCGTGGGCTCTGCCGTCCGACTCTCGGCAGAGTGAGCACAACGTCCACACGTCCAAGATGTGCTCACACGCGGCAGCTGGACCCTCAGCCAGGGCTCCAGACGCTGGTTATTTCTGTTACGTTTTGATCTACTGACATAAGAACTTTTTGTTTTACAATTTATCTACTGAAACCCTACATAACAACTTAACAATTCAAAAGTTACACCTTGTAATTTTTTAAATGCCTCTAACAAAATTTAGACTAGCTCTTACACACATATAATTTTCCATTTTCTTATAACAATTTTGCTTATCCAAATATGCACTGAAACAACTTATCCAAATTTCTACCATTCTCTTGAAGTCCTTCTTACTTCCAAAGCAACTCCTTTTTTAAAAACAACTCATATGAATTTGGGGTGCATTTGTTGTAGGTGGACAGCAAATTAAGGCCCCACCAGCTGTGTGGGTCTCCGGGGCTGTAAGCAGGAATACACCAAGATTCGCACCCTGGCTCTCGCCTTAGTAGGAGTTGATCCGAGGCACCAGTGTGCTGTTCTGGGCCTTGGTTTCCTTGTGAAATGGGGGTAATGATTCCACAGGGCTGTCCCAGGACTAGAAGACATTCACACAAAGTACAGCAGATGCTCAAGAATGCTACTTCTCTCCCCTTTTGGCTTATCCTGGATTCACTTGGGAGCCCCATGCGTAAGTGTCTCACTAGAGACAACACGAAACCAGACCATTTAGGACTCTCCCAAATCAGACTTTCAAGTTGCCACTGCCTTGAAACAGATCCTGCAGCTCCAGTGCGATTTCCAGTGGAACACAAAACACCTGGGTCATAAAGAGCAGCAGGGAGGTGTGACAAGGGCGAGCCAGCGCCCGCCGCAGGGAAGGTGGGGGTAAAGGTGTCACAGCGACTACGGCAGCACAGCCACGACAGGCAGCCTCACTGCCTGGCCCTGTGACCCCGGGAGCAGACCACTGGGCCGCACGGGCAGCACCCCAGCCTGTGCTCCTTGGTGTGCCGGCTGCCCGGGCATCAGGACACAGGCCTGTCCTCCAACTCAGTCAGACCCCACAGCCGGCCGTCTGCCTGACGCTGAGTGGCACGAAGGGCGTGGAGACCCCACAGCCCATCCCCCCACACGTCCACACCTGCAAGGCCCCCAAGGGTGACCCGTGCATTTGCGCTCGTGCAGGACACCGCGGGGCAGGACGGGGACCGTATGAGCACGGCTGCCAGCTGTCTGCTCGAGGGTCTCAGCCTGGATTTTCACATGATTTTAGCATTAACCCCACGCCTTTTGCTGTTTCTCTCAAGCAGTTTCCCCTCAGGGCTAACGTCACAGTTCTCGAGTGGCCCTCCCGTTGGCACCACAAGCGCCCTGGCGCTGTCCACAACTGAGCATCCCAGCCTGCTCAGTGAACCGCAGGTGGGCGGCCAGTGCAAGGGGCCGGGCTGGGGGCCTACCTTTCTGCAGGATGGCCGTTAGGTGCTCCCCCAGCAGCTGTTTCTCCACACAGGCAATCAGCGGTTTCCTATGGAAGGGAAGGGACGGTGTCGACTGTGGAAGGCGGACAGCCATCCATGCAGACACCCCGGGGCCCCAGCACTCTGCACGTGGACAGTCATCACAGTCACTGACGCAGACTCTGAAGTCCTTCCAGAAACAACCAGCAGGCCCAGGGGAGGGGACGGCGGCAGGCAGGCAGGCACACCCTGCCCGCTGCTCCCTGGACGAAGGCGGCCCCAGCTTTGTGCAGGAGCCCGCCCCCGCCCCAGGTTGCACAGCCCTCCTGCCACTGCAGCCATCTCTCTGCTCCACTCCTTCCTGCGATCACTCATTAAAACCCCACTTATGGTGGAAGATGCGTGAGTGTCACACAATACAGATCGTCTGAAAGTGTGGACATTCAGCGTGTGTGACTGCATGCACACGGGGACACACCACGCCTCCTGGGTTCACTACAAGAAACTTTTCGCAGGACCACCTGACGTCACCCTCTCAGATCCCCAGAGAGGCAGAGCAGATGCACCAAGCTCTGTTGCACCGACGAGGAAACGGGGTCTGCAGAGGTGTGAGCGGCCCAGACACAGGCAGCGAGTAGGCCAGCAGACAAGTGTCGGCAGGAAGGGCAGCTTCTCCTCTTGGCATCTTCACTGAGACATAGCTCACTGCAAAGGCCGCCGATGCGATGCATGCAGCTGGACGGCCTGCCATCTGTTCAGAGCTGCACACGTCCCGTTGCGATCTGCTCTCCCGGACTCGCATCACCCAGAACCGTCCCAGCCGCCCCTTTTCTGAGGGACTGTGCGCCGCTAGACACCGTGCCAGCCTCTCTCCCTGCACCGAGTTCCCAGAGGTCCCCCTTTTGTGCACGCTCCATCCTCTCCCGCCGAGGACTGTCCCGGGCATGCCCTTCACCAGCCGACCATGGACATGTGTTCACTCTGATGGCGTGAGTGAGGCTGCTCTGTGCACACAGGTTGTGTGGCCCCTCCACACACGCAGCAGGGGACCAGACGCTGGAGAAACATGGGGCAACTCTATGCTGACACTCTGAGGAACCACAACTTGCTCCCCAAGCAGTGGCCCCATATCACACCCCTGCCAGAAACACACGAGGGCTCGTTTCTCCGTGGCCTCTCCGGTGCTCTCTGGGCCTGCCTTCTGGTTCTGGCCATCCCAGCGGGTGTCGGTGGACCTGTGTGTGGCTCTGGTTTGAGTTTACCGGTAACTAAGGGCCCAGGCGCTGTCCCTGTGCTCAGAGAATCACCGCTTCTCCGTGGTTCTGGTCTGGGCTCTGGTCCGCAGGAACCTGAAAATACTCCACTGCGCCTGTCATCCCTGGTGGCTTGCAGAGTCTCCACCACAGCCCGGGCGTGCCTCAAGGGGCAGGAAGACGAGCTCCTGGGACTCAGAGGTGCAGAGCTTGGGGCAGTCCTGGGGAATTCACTGTTCGCAGCATCCAGGTCCAGAGCCAATGCCACAAACCACATGACAACTCACTGATCTGTGGTTCGAGCATTCCCACCTCAGCACTGAGTGACTCTGACTGACAGGAGAGTGGGCCTCTCAGGACCCCAGCGCCCAAAGGCCATCCCAGGGCAACACAGAGCCCATCCCTGGGCAGGGCCTGTGGATGGCCGGCCACGGGGCGCCACGGGGCTCCACAGGGCACCACGGGGCTTGGCAGCAGGCCGGAGTGCAGCAGACAGCAGACCCTGCAGCCTGGGAGGCCCTGGAGCGCACGACCCAACACCACCCGCGCTGCTGACGCAAGGCAGGTGGGATGCTGGGCTCCGGGGCCCGAAGGGGCAGTGGGAGCCCAGCCCTAGGGGGCAGCCCACTTAACCCAGGCGCATTTTCCATTCTGTGATAACTGAGCCACCAGGTACCACAGCCGCCTCGGCCAGTGCTCATCACAGCACTGAGCTCACAGGAGAATCACCTTCTCCTGTGTCTCGTCTGCTTGACTCACACACACTTCTAAGCAACACGCATAGGACCAGGGGAGGGGTTTACAACGCAGCACAAACCGAGGAGTGCACCCAAGAGCGCGCGTGTGAACACAGAGGCGCCACTGGGCCCACCACCGCCCACGGGCCAGAGCAGAGTGCCTACCAGACACCCCGCAAAGTCCCCTCCCAGGGGCACCCGGAGCAGCCCTGTCCTCGCACGGCTCTGCAGCCCGGGTCCCTGCAGGCAGCGCACACATGGCATGTCTGAAGGCAGCCTCGCCTCCATTCCGTGACCCTCTGCTTCCCAGGCTCTCCGCTGTCACGCCTGCCCCTCCCCATCTGGGAGTCACCAAGTTCTGCACGTTTTCACAGTTTCTCTCTTAAAAGCAGCCCTCTTCTGCCTCCTGTGTTTCTGCTCTCGTCTTCACGAATGAACGTGTCATGTGCCTGATGCAAGCGTCCACAGAACTTTCCCTTTTACTTTTTCCTACTCAACAGCCTCAGGTTTAGAGAACAAAAAATTATGTGAAAAGAGAAAATAATGTGACTTAGGGTAAATAAAAATCACAGCTATATCAGATGTCTAACAAAAGTTTGCATTAAAAAAATTCCAGGTGGGGAGGGTGTAGCTCAGTGGCAGAGTGCACGCTTAGCATGCACGAGGTCCTGGGTTCAATTCCCAGTGGCTCCGTTAAAAAAAAAAAAAAAGGCTGACATTCAATGAGACCCAATTAACATAAATCTCTATAAATTTGTAACAAATTATAAACTGTCTGCGATGCTAAGTATCTCAGCCTGAATCATTCCCATTGGTCAATAACTCACGACAGGACACTTAGTCAGCGTGACCTACTAGTGCTAAACAACCACAAGGGACAAGCAGACCGTGTGAGGAGCACACACACGTTCAGACGGCAGTGGCTCAGTCTACGGGCCCGCCGGTCCCAGGACCGGCCAGGAGAAGGTTCTCCAAGTCAGGCAGCAGTACTCACTGTGTGCTGTGGTCTAAATACGTGATCACTCGGTCTCCTTCCTCCTCCAAACGTTTACTTACATGGTTAAGATATTCCGGAACCTTCCAAACAAAACATTGAAACACATCAGTAACAAAAAACATTCTTGATGTCACCCGTGGAGCTGAAATATTCTTTTCCTTATTATTAAAAAAAAAACAGAACATATGTTCAAAGCCAAATATTGACACAGATTTACGGGGGTGGAGGGGCAAAGTGGGAAGTGGGGAGGACACACAGCAGGAAGATTCTTTACAGTCAGTCCTGGCGACTACAATTAACCCCAGAATTAGGGCCGAGGCAGTGCTGCACTGCTGCGCCCATTTGCAGCAGGGCTCCTCAGTCACTGAGGCCGGGGACAGGTGGGCACAGCTCCGGGCACTCCGGCCCGAGTGCGGGAGGTCAGCAAAGCAAATCAACAGAGTGTCCATGTGAGGCCACCAGGCAGAGTGGCTGCCAAGCTCAAATGTGCTCTGAGTTTCCAGGCAAATGGTGTCTCTGCTGTCAGCCGACAGCACAGCATAGGCCCCAGGACAGGGGTCTCTGAGGTTCTGACCCAGGGCCTCTGATGTGAAAGGGCGACGGCCCCAATGGCTTCCTTCAAGATTGGGCTCTGATGCCCGAGAAACTGGCTATTGGGTTTTCTGGGTTCTTACTACTGTCGTGTGGTTTTTTGCATGGCTTTTTGGGTAATTCTTTCAACGCCTCACACAGATGGAAACCTTTAACATGCTGGGTTTATGCTCCACATCTAGGAGCTCTCTTCTGCCCTCTTGCTTCACCTGAGCTCTTTCACCCATTTCGTGAGCTGTCTCACTGGCTGTTTTACTGGGCAGTGGGCAACAGAAGAGCTTCTAAGTTGGGAAAAAAAATTAAATTCTTGACATAATAAGAAAGAAGTTACTCCTGGGGATTTAAAACTAGTTGTGGTTTTCAGTAAAATGTCTTCCTGTGCGAAAAGACAAACAGTCAGAAATTATACTTAGATGCACGTCTCCCAAAGTGAAATAAGGCAACTGGGAAACACTGCCACGTCTCACCTCTCTTTCTTGCATTAATCTTTGGCCTTCTGCAGCATATAAACAATTAGTTTCTTCCAAAAACTTCACTTCAAATGAATCTTTATACACCTAAAAAACAAGCAAGTTACCAACCAGTCACAGCGAGGAGGCTCCTCACAGCCCTGCGTGCTGAGGGGCCCCGGTTCCCAGGGAGTGCGCTGTGTGATCCACATGCGCTGATGAGCTGCCGGGGCCGCCCCTGCTCCACGGGGCCTTGGCTGACCCCTGGCTGGGGGCTCCCAGCCAGCTGGCCGCTCCGCCGCCCCGGAGTGTTCCAGGCCCTCGGCCCTTTTCTGTGGAGCATGAGGATGTGACCGTAAGGACTGCAGTGCCAGCTGGGGCCCCACGACCCCAGACTTCCAGCCCACAGGCGGCCACCTGCTCCTCCTCGGAGATGAAGTGCACCCTTTCCTGGCGGGTATTTGCCTGGCAGAACTCACAGCCTGGGGGATGCTACCCTCACCTCACCGAAGCTCAGGCCGACTTGTCTCAGCCCATGTCTCCTCCTCACCGGAGTCCTGAGTCCCACCACCCTGCCACACACCCAGGCCCCAACCCCTCTATGTGCACAGCCCCTCCCCCATGAAAGGCCCTGCATGCTCACCCCGCTCCCACGGGCACCCCTTGTCCGTGTGGCCCGCGGTTGCCTGCAGCAGCCTGTCTATTCAACCTTTCCTTTGTTTCTTAAACTTCCGTTTGTTTTTGGTAAATTCTTTTCCTGCCCGTGACACTGGCCTGCCGTGTCCCCCAAGGGCGCTTGCCCTTCTGGCTCCAGGTGCACCGTTAGCCCTTTCTAGGGGTCACAGAAACTCCCGTTATCTTCAACAGACGTTTTTATGATTCATGTTTTGCACTTAAAACTTTGATGTGAGTAGCGGGCGGGGACCGACTTCGCCTGGAAGCGGGCCTTGGCTCACCTGCAGGTCGGAGAGCATGCTCAGCAGACTCCGCAGCAGGCTCCGGTCCGCGGCCTCCCCGCTGCGCTCCCGTCCAATCAGCAGCAGGATTCCATCGATTGTTTTAGTCTGAACCATTTTATCACTGATAATGTGGTTTCTGAACAGTTCTAACCCCATATCCCTGTATGAACAGTAAAAACAAGGCTCCATCTCAGTTCGCTTTCAGAAGTTTTAGGTGAGGCTCCAGCTGCACAGTGAGCCGTGTCCCCAAACCACTGACTCGCTAACTCTCTAGACCAGACATGAAGTGTTCGTTCTCTGCTTTTTATTTTAATTTCCGACAGCCTGGCATGGCTGGCGTGCGTCTCCTCAGCAAGACTGTCTGCTTCCTGGCGGGTCAGGCGACAGTCCCAGGAGGAGCACGGAGGCCCCCCCGGGGTCCGGTGCGCCCGTGAAGAGGACACCCATCTCGCAAACCCTGCTGGGATCAGAGAGTCCCTGCTGCCCTTCCCGGGGGCACGGTCAGGGGTCAGGGGTCAGAGGTGCCACGGGCTGCCCTCCGCCCGGCCCCTGGAGGGTGGAGCTAGGAAGCAGCACTCACAGTCCCCCACGCTCGCTCAGCTCGTGCCCAAGGAACTGAGGAGGAAGCTCTGCTGTCAGTTACCGTCCACAAAACTACGAGACAAGTACGGGGCTCTGCTGTGCAGGCGCGTCGAAGGTCCCGGAGGGGCCGACCACTGGGGAGGAGGAGAGAACTCAGATACCTGGGCCCAGCCAGGCCCCTGAATGGGCAGCTCAGGGGGCAGAGGTGGCGGTGGAGGTGGGCGCGGCTCGGACGGCGGCGAGGCGGAGTCAGGGAGCCGTCTGTGCGGAGAACCCGTCGTCCTGCGCCGCCCACCATCACAAAGGGCCTTTCCTGGGCCCCAGCCTCCACATCCTCCACAGACGGGCAGGGAGCCCAGCGGTCAACCACCTGGGTTTGAACCCTGCCCGCCCCTTGCTGGCTGAGACTTGGGCAAGGAACCCAAGCTCTGCGAGCCTGTCGTCAGCTGTGAAAGGGGATCACGTGGCTCAACATGAGGCCAGGCAGGTGCGCGCAGCAGAAGGGGTGGGACACCCCCTTGTCCACCGCTGTGCTGTCGCCGTAACCTTCCTCTGAAAGGGCAGCTCCCTCCACCAGCCATCGGGATGTGCCCTCAGCTTCCCCTCGGGCCCCCGCAGACACCCGCCCCTCCATATCTGTCTCAGATCCAAGCCCCTCCCGTGGACTCAAGCTCAGGCGAGACCGCCCCTCCTCACCCCTCCCTGTGTGGTCCTCAAGCCCCTTCTCCATGACTCGTGCCTGCAGCTCCGCACTGGCATGGGGTGTCTGCGCCACAAGCAAGGTCTGTAGCTGCCACGACATGGTCACGCCATAAACTACATTCATAAACTAGAGTTCAGGCCGGCAACCGACACCTGGGCACAGCACGCGGTCAGCTCCGCCTGGTTTCCCCACCCAGTCTTCCCGCGCAGAGCTGCCTTTGGGGTTCAGCACGTCGACTGGCAGGCGCCAGCAGGCTCGGCTCAAGAGCCCTGGGAGCAGATGCCCTGTGATGTGGGCATCAATGGCCTCAATTTACCACCCTTCCTGCTTCTCCGGGCAACGACCCTCCTTTCTGCAGACGGGTGAGGGTCCAGACAGGCCATGCAGGAGTCAGAGGGAAGGGCACAAAGGGAATGTGGTGTGAAGGGGCGTGTCCATAAGGAGAGGCCAGAGCGGCACAGGCGTGGGGTGATGGGGAACAGAGGCGAGAGCAGCTTCCTGTGGTGAAAGGAGAAACCCTGCCTTCTGGGGTGGGAGAGAACCACAGGGAGGAGCTGGACAGGGAAGTGCCTTTTAAAGAACTGGGTTCAGAGATGGTGCGAGGGCAGATGCCCCTGAACACAGCGCAACATCCAGAGGGACAGAGACCAGGGGGACTGGGGATGAGATGGAGAACCAGCCCTGGTCAGAGCGGGCAGGGCTGCCCAAAGGCCGACGCGGAGACAGAAGGGTGTCATCGGCAGAGGTCAGGGCGTCAGTGGCAAGGGGTCCCCAACTCGTGTCATCCCTGAAAGGCACCGCATGACCAGCAGATGGAGGCCAGGCCCTGCATCCTGCTGACCTCACCAGAGCAGGGAAGGAGCCTTTCCCTCGCAGAAGAGGTGGATGGAGCTTACAAAAACGGGGCTTTGCGAGACACTTCTGGGCTGCTCCCCACATGACACTCAGAGCCAGCTGGAGAAGGTGCTAGAACTTGCCCGTCCTGTGTGCTGCCTGCCACTCCGCCCCCTACCCTCACCAGTGACACGGACACCAGGCTGAGACCCCCCCTGGGCACCAGGGACTCTGCCCACACAGAGGCCACGCTTGGCCACGTGCATGTCACCACGCTAATCAGCAGAGACGCGTGGGCTCAGCCACTGCGGCTCCAGGACCGGGACACTCACCAGATGGAGGGAAGCATGGAATTCTGAAGTACGTAAGTGCGATCCAGAAACAGGAAAATGCTTCTGATCATGATCTGGAGGGCAGAGAGGAAGCCGGCTCATTCACGGGTCTCACCAACAGAGCAGCCAAGGCGAGGCCTCCTGAACTCTAACCACACCGGCTGTCTCAGATCTAACGCGACCGCTTCTCAATGAGAAGACGTTGACCACCAAGACCCTCGTGACCGATTCTTTCCCCTAAATTCAACTGCTCCCCTTGGTGTTTAATTTTCATCTCTTTTATCCAAAAAACCTGACGGTAAGGTCTTACAGCAGCTTACCCTCAGACACCTTGGAAATTCGGTCACCTCCTGCCCAACATGGTGAGTCTCTCTAGACCGGGGAGGTGCTCTAGGCTGAATTTTTCAAGCACTAGTTCTTGTCCTGTGAGCGTGAGGTACCGTGTCCCCACTGACCCTCCTGTGCAGGCTCCCCAGCCGCGCCCTGCACGCCAACGTGACCCCACAACTGTGCTCTTGGGACACCCCGCGCTTGGCCGTGGGGGTTTGTTCACACATGTAAACAGAACCTTCCCAACAGACGTCCACCTGTGTCTCCACTCCACCTGCTGCCTGGCCCGGAACAGGCCCCCTCGCTGCCTCCTCCTCCCCTCATTTAGGAAGCAAGAGTCCGACCTCCTCAGGAAAGCTATGGACACCATCTTTCCCATCACTCACATACTCACCCGCCAGGTCCCCCTGAAAGCTCACGTACGAAACACCAGAGTCAGTACACCCACAAGTCTAAGACTTCTGTCTAAGACTTAGTGCAGTGAAGCCCCAGAGCTCAGGCACAGACCGAGACACGGAGGACTTCAGGGACCCACCAGAACTGCGGGGACCATGAGCTGCCGTCAGGTCGGTGTGAAGGCCAGGCTAGCAGCTGGCCCACTCCAGGAGGGCAGAGTTCACCTTCCCCCCCGTTCACCACTCTGCCATCCAGCCACGTCGGAGCTGGGGCAGCGTCCCACCCAGCAGAGCAGCCCGCCCCCTCAGCTCACGACCTGCCCACCTTCTTCGGGCAGGGGAGGGACAGCGGCTGAGGGCATGCTTTGATTAAACAAAAAACCACAGCTGCATTAATTACTGGCTCTCCTTCCTGTCCAGCTAAGCCAGAGGCTGGGGAAGACCCGCGAGGGAGCGCTCAGGAGACTAGACGTGAGGGTCAGCCAGCTCACCATCTGTCTGCAGTGATCCTGCCAGCACGTGTTAATCTTCTTCAAAAACAAAACACTATCTAGTGAGTCTGTGCGGAGCTGCTAAGGAAAACTTGGGAAACATCAGCCAGTTTACTTACACAGTTTTCACCCCTTCCCTCCTCCAGTTTCCTTTGCTCCGCTCAGTGACCACAGCACTGGAGGACCAGGAGCAAGGCTGCTTCTGTCGCCGTCTCCTCGCCAGCCTGTCGCCAACCCGCCTGCCCCACCCTCCCCTCGCCTCCTGCAGCCTCCCTGTCCCTTTCGCTCCGAGTTTGTGGGAAGC